ATGTGAGCCCTTAGATCCATGCTCGGTGCAGAGCAATTGCTCAACACACGGTGGCTTTGCTGTCATTGAGATTGTACTATCAGGCCTGGGTTGACTATATCCATTAAAGGCAAGTGCTGGAAACTTAGCCCCAGTGTGAGTGTCAAGGGGGGGAATCTTTAAAGGGAAGGTCAGGCCAGGAGGGGTTAAAGCTGGCAGTTCCTGAGAGGGCCCCGGCCCATCCTGTTTTCTCTCTTTCTCTTTCCTGCCCTCCCTTGCACTTCCACTTTCTGCCATGGGACAGTTCAACATGAAGGCTCGTGCCAGGCCCTTGATATTGGGCCCAGCCTCTTGAACTGTAAGAAATCCATCTTTGTTCTCTGCAAGAGAACCCAGACTCAGGCATTCTGTCACAGCACATCACAGTTTAAGGACCCAGAGCTAGAAGTTCACTCAGTGGTTAAAATGCGTGCTGTGCAAGTGTGATGCCCTGAGTTCTGATCCCCTGAACCCAAGTAAAGCTGGACACTATGGTGAAATGCCATGGGGAGGCGGAACTCTCTGGAAGCTCACGGGCCAGCTAGCCTGGTGTATGCCATTGGAGTAACAAAAAGCCTGTCTCAGACAAGGTGAGGACTCACGCATGAAGCTGTTCTCTCACCTTGCAGCATGCCCCCACCATCCAACTGGTAAAACAAAGGACCAAAAATACCCTCTGGGCCAGAGCCCGGAGCAGTTGTCTGGGATCAAATCAGCAGTTATTGATGGGTCTTCTAGGGCCCAGACTATGCATTTCTGGCAAAGCTCTGGGGGTTGCTGGTGCTGATGCTGGTACTGGTGCTGGTGGTCTGCGGACCATACTGGGAACAGCAGGCTTAGAGATCTTTTCAAACAACACAGAATTCTTATTGTCCCCATAAGCAGCAGCCTCCATGAAGAGTAACCCACAGGCTCTGCCATCCTGATGGGCAGTGTCTGCACCAGACAAACTCTCCTCAGCAACCAAGCATGAGAAGGCAGTGTACACAGTCTATGTGAGGCCCGAGGAAGCCCTGGCTCCCCGCTCTTTAAGGGTCCCTGAACACTGCCTTGCATAAAAGGGTCACCAGAGATAAACTCAGCCTCTCCAAGACACCCTGGTCACAGGCACTGGACAACCAGAACCCCAGAGCTGAGGTAGCACTCTGGAACTCCATCTCCTCCATTGCCACACCTGTCTGTCTGTCTGTCTGTCATCTGGCAGGCTCTGTCACAGGAGGCCTTCTCCACAGCTGCTTGGCTGAGGCTGTGGGTCTCACAGCTACCCAGCCTGATCACTCAGGTCCTTGATGGCCCCGAGCCTACCCACATCTGTCACCTCAGTGCCTGCCAACCCCAGGACCCCTTCCTGTCCATTCCTGCCGTGCTTTGGACTCCTCCCCTGAGAGTTTCCCAGGTGGTTTTTTGAGCAGTTTCACATAGTCCAGGTTGGCATTGAACTCCAGATCCCCATGAGTCTACCTTCCCAAGTTCTTTTTTTTTTAAATAAAAGCATGTGCCACCACACCTCATACTAATTGCCTGGCTGGGGATTTCCTCTTAAAATTTTTTTGCCCTTTCCCCCTGGTTAACAGAATAAACAGTTAAGGTTTGGGAACTAAAAGCTCAGATGAGGGAACAGGCGATACCTATGAGTTGGCAGAAGATGGTGGACATCGGCTATTGGGGGAGATAGCCACGGCTGTTTAGGGTTGAATGAAGTCCCTCACTCTCCACACCCACATTAAGATGTACCTGGTATGGAAGGTGACTTTATGTCAGAAAATTGTTTTTTTCAGATATTAAATTAAAACCCTTGAGAGGGGGTTTTCCTGATGAGGTGTCCTTCCAAGAGATACACAGACGGGAAGATGGGGAGAAGGCAAAGTCCTTGGGAAGGCCAGAAAGGAATTGGGACCCAGGTCAAGGTGCACTAAGAGCAAGCAGAAACTGAAAGACACATGAAGGATCGCATTAGAGCTTCCAGAGGGAGCACACCCGCTATCTGCGTTTTAGACACCTGGCTTCTCAGGTACAGCCCTTTGTCTCAGGAAACTAACACCCGGCCTTACCGCTCACTGAGTAACTCTGGCAGACCAAAAGGCTGGCAGTCCCTGAGCTGCCTTCCTCCATAAAGAGACTGGCAGATCTCTCCTAAACTTATTCGACAGGAGTTTGCTAAGTGCCTGGTGCTAGGCTTGACCTGCCGGAAGCTTCCCAGCAGCAAGGAAATTGTTATGTACCAAGAAGCACAGAAGAAAACACAAGGCAGCTTTTGTCGACCACACGGAGAGGCCCGGTGACTTCCCTGTGTGTGACAGCTGAACTCGTTAGTCTGACTGGACGTGGAATCACCGTGAGAGCTGAACTCGTTAGTCTGACTGGACGTGGAATCACCGTGAGACTGTTTCCGGCAAACTTTAAGTGAGGAGTGAGCATCCACCTTCTCTGCTTCCCGACTGTGGATGTCATGTGACCTCACCGTATGCTCCTCCCACTACCACCAGAAAGGCTTTTGTCACCATGTCATCTGTTCCTTGATGGACTGTACCCTGAAACCATGAGCCAAAACTGTTAAGTCTCCAACCCAGACAAATGACCGAGGTGCCTATCAAATGACGTATCAAAGCAGACCTGGCCACCAGGTTCTCCCAGCATCCCTCAGTCCCTACCGGATACAGGGTATGGTTGGTACACCCCACCCCCTACCCTAAACTTCTCCAGCCCAGCAGCTGGGCTGCCCTTCCCCTGATGTCCTTTCCTATATAACCCAGCCATTCTGTTGCCTGGCCCTCTCTTTTGCCCTTTACTCTAGCGGCCCCTCCCTCACATGGTTCAGGGTCATGTCCACTCTGGACTCTCCCAGATGTCCCTGCCTCTGCCTATGCTCTCTCTTTTATCTACAATAAAACTTCTCCTCCACTATACCTACAGCAGTTAGGTCCTTCCTTTTCTTCTTTTCATTTAAAAATAAACCCTTTTCTTCCTTGAGCTGGTGGGTTTTTAAAAACTTTTTAAAAAAGTGTGTGTGTGCCGTGCCCGAGGAGGCCAGAGAAATGTTGGATTACCTGGGACCGACAGCATTATAAACGGTCGTGAGCCACCATGTGAGGACTGGGAATTAAACCCAGGGTGTCTGGAGGAGCAACCAGTGCTCTTAACCACTGAGTCATCTCTCCAGCTCCAATACTCTATTTTTAAACTAAAACTCAGCGGAAAGCAGTCCCCCATAACCATAAATTACACAGCTGAGTTTCCCACAGTCGGGGAAACCCCAGGGGTCAGAACACCTGGAAGGCATCCTCAGGTTGTTTTTGCTCAGCCACTTTGTCATAGCAACGAGAAGAGTGCAACGGATGCAAGAAATGCATACTGACAAGGAGGGCCATCCTTGTGCCCCACAACTCGACTCAGAGGCCTTTGACCAGAAGATTCTGAGCTTCAGGCCAGAGAATTCTAGAACGCTGTAAGCCAGGCGTTAATGGACCTTTCTGGAGAGTTTGAAGACCTCATCTTTGGAAGGTTCTGACTTGTGAAAATGGAAAATTTATTTTCAAAAAGCTCAAACCGAATGTCAGGAGGCTTTCTTGGCTTGAACTCAGCTTCCTAGAAGTGGTTTCCCAGGTTTGGGCACGAGGTATATAGAGGAGATGACAGCTAGTTAGCAGCTGTGCTGGATAGTTTTATGCTGACTTGACACAAGTTAAAGTCATCTGGGAGGAGGGAACGTCCTTAAGAAAACACCTCCGTAACATCCATCTGTAGGGCATTTTCTTAATTAGTGATTGATGGGTGGGGCCATCCCTGGGCTGGTGGTCCTGGGTTCTATAAGAAAGCAGGTTGAGCTAGCCGGTAAACAGCACTCCTCCATGACCTCTGCATCAGCTCCTGCCTCCAGATTCCTATCCTGCATGAGTTCCTGTCCTGACTCCATTCAAAGATGAATTACAATGTGGAAATGTGAGCCAAATAAGCCCTTTCCTCCCTAACTTGTTTTTTGATCACGGCGTTTGATCATGACCATAAAAACCCTAACAGCAGGTATACACGACGCATGAGTTACCAGCTCATGGAAGCTTGTACCCAAGTTCCAGAAACTGTGGACTCTAGGTAATATGTGGCAGTTAGATCCCCTGGAAGGAGGTCCTGAGAGACCATTAGATGAAGCTGTGAGGGTTAGGCCTAAAATCCAATGGAGAACTCCAAAAGGGTGGAGAAAACCAAGACCATGGGACATATGCCAAGGAAAGCTACAGTCTCTCCCATGCCTCCCCACCATGATGCTATGACATCAGATTGTGAGCCAAAACAAATCCTCTGTCCTTGTCAGGCGTTTTGTTACCAGGGTAGGTGACGGCTGAGTGAAAGGGGGTAAGGATGGAGCAAGTGGGCGGACCAAGGACAGGAAGTCATGGTGCCCAGCCTGGAGTGTATGCAGAGAGTAATTAGAGAGTAAGGTGTGTGTGTGTGTGTGTGTGTGTGTGTGTGTGTGTGTGTGTGTGTGTGTGTACGCGCGCACAAGGACTCCAAGGTGCAGAGAGCCAGAGAGCACTGGACACCCAGGGTGCTGCAAGGAGCCACAGCTGGTAGCAGCCACACTCAGGGCTGGGACGTGACTGTATTGAATGAGGAGGTAGAGAAGAGGATGAGCAGCCACGGGGGCTTCAGGGCCACATTGTGTGTGTTGGAAGCCTTTGATGGGTATGAGGCAGGGAGACGAGGGTGGCCACACGCTCCTCTGGAAATGTCACTGAGATGTAATTGGATAGCAGGGCATTGACTGGAGTGACAGTGAGGAGACCCCAGCTATCACCCAGGTGGCCCTAGGATGCCGAGTGGCAGGGAGGGGACAGATATGAGGGTTATGATATAGAAATTAGACAAATCCCATCAGTGTGACATGGTTCTCATCAAAAACAGACACACTGGGCAGACACGGGTGCAGCGTGGTCACTGTCTCCCCCCCCCTGCACCCACATCACAAAAGCAACAAATCCACTTACCATCCTTGAGTGAGAAGCTCAGAAGGTCCTGTGGGAAAAGGAGACAGTTATCAGTGAAGAGCTGACAGCCTACCACCCAGCTCATGTGACAGATAAGCACTGTCTCTTATCAGGTGGAGATGGCAAAACCTTTCCACCCTGCGGCACAGTGGCGAGCCAGGTAGCAACTGTATGCACGAGTACTAAGCAGGCCAACGAGAGGAGGGGAAGGCCCTGCTTTCTCCCTGTGCACATGGCCGGCCACCAGTAGACCATGCCATAGCTTCTGCCTACTTAAGCTGCACTCAGAGAGGGCCAGTGACATGCTCAAGGTCACACAGCAAAGCTGCTCCTTCAGAAAAAGTCACCATAGCTTGGTAGAATGCAGGCTCTGGGGGCAGGCCACCAAGGTTCGAATTCTGGCTTTGGTTACTTACCAGCTGTGTGACCTTGGGTAAGTAACTTAACCCTTCTTTGCCCCAGTCTTCTCAACTATAAAGTAGGGATGATTATACAGGTTAAACATCCCTAATTAAAACAAAACCCCAATTCCAAAACCATATACTTTATAAAATATTTATTTCTGTGTATGCACGTGAGCATGTGTGAATTTACGTGCACCACATGCATGCAGGAACCCGAGGAGGCCAGAAGAGGGCACTGCATTCCCTCTGACCTGGAGTTATGTCAACAGCATCCAACTCCCAGTTTCAAAACTTTTCAAGTGAAGAAAGTCCATACTGTGAACTGTGGTGCCGTGCACAGATGTATTAAAATGTATAAAAATCACCCTCGGACTATGTGTATAAGATGCACAGGAAACATACATCAATTTTGTGCATATTCCCGAGGGTCCCACCTAAAGATACCTTATTATGTGTATGCAAATAGCCTTGGGGCTGGCTGCTGGGAACAGAGAATGAGTCGTTTCCCTTCCAGCTCAGTCACGTGAGCTGGAGTGGCACATGATCCAAAACTCCATCGTCATCTATTACGGTGATGGTCACAGCCGATACTGAATCACCACGGTAGAAACCATCGCTATTCACGTAACAGTCAGCGTGCTCATGAGGAGGCCTTGCCTTCACAGAAGTTAACACACTTGATTCTCAAACAGCCTCCTGGGGCAGGGACACAGGCTGAGTGCCCTGTGTCCAAAGTGCTTACAACCAGAAGGGCTTCCAAGACTTCCAGTTGGGAGGGGGGAAGGCTGGAATGCTTTTTAAGGCTTATTTTATTTTATGCACATGGGTGTTTTGTATGCATGTATGTCTGTGCACCACATGTGTGGGGCCCAGAAGAGGGGGCCGGAGCCTCTGAGGACGGAGTTGTGGACGGCTATGGGTCACCACCCAGGGGCCAGCGCACCTGAGTGACTGCTGAAGGGTCTCCTCTCAGGATGGGGTCCTTCAGTAAAGTCTGAGCAAAGATGTCGGCTCCTTCGCCTCCCAGGCCACTGGCAAAGGCAGTCATGGTTGGGAGGACAGCTTCGGACAAATGCAGCCACTTCACCAGGCCTGTCACAAATTCTGTGCAGAAGGGGCTAAAAGAGACACAGTTAGATCCCAGCCCTTTGGAGAGGCCCATAATGGATGGACAGGGTCACATGTCAGCCTGTGGTTAGGGGTCCAGTCACAGGCCCAACACTGAGACGGTCTAAACAGAACCATAGGTGACGAGGCCCGTGTCTTCAGTTCTCACCAAGACTTTTTACCAAGAGGTAAATGAAACACAGGGATGAAGGCAGCCAGTTGCTGCCGCCTGTGTGCCCTGAGCCTGAACCACACAGGGGAATAAGGAAGCAGGGGACAGAAGTCACTCCGGAGTGGTGGGATGTGTGAGGAACACAGGGAGGGACCAAGTCCTAAGCAGAGTCACCTGCTGAGCTGACAGCAGCCTTGGGAAACCAGGAGACATGCCTGGATGTCACCATGGACTCATGTCTGGAAAGGGACCATCGTAAAGATGGAGGGCTCACTCCAGCAGGTGCGCTGCCACAGGGCCTGCCAGGGGACAACGGGGCCGCTGTGGAGAGTGGGGAGCCCCACGGTCTGAGATAGAAGTGCCCTGTATCTTCTTGGGGACCATGCAGAGTTCACACCAGGCTTCTGATGCAGGCTGCCCTCAGTGCAGGGCTGAGGTTTTGGTGAGGGAGGGGTGGTAAGGGCGTGGAGAACAGAATTCATCAAGAAGTAAGGAAAGAGAGAAAGGCTAAAGCTGAGATCCCTCATTTAAACTCCAGAAGCAGAGTTCCAGGTGCCCTGGGCTCTGCTGCTATCGGTGGACTCCTAGAGATATTCAGAGATCCCTGGTGGTGGAGGAACCCAAGGAGCCCTCCAACCTTACACTACACAGTCCCCCCATCTCATTCCTTACGGCTGCTGGGGAGCAGAGACCTCTAAGGCTGCTAGTGGGGGTGGGGTGGGAGTTGGGGTCCAAATCATGGCTTTGTTGCCACCAGAATCTGGTCTGAAGTAGAGATTACTGCCCACCCCCACTGGGGACCAGCACCTACAGAAGGGAAGAAGGGAGCAGGGCTAGGCAGAGGGAGGACATCCTGTTGCCATCTTGAGAGACACCTCAGCTGACACTGCCATTGACCCTGCGGGACATTCTGAATTTGGGGTCCCCTCCCCCTCCCAGTGGTTCCAAGGGTTCACTCTATGCCAGGTATCTTGGGGAGTCAGGCTACATCTTGGGAAGGTGGTCCTGTGTAGCTAGGGTAGGCCCCAAAGGCTGTACAGAGCTCAGGTAGTGCTAACAGCCCCTCCTCCATTCCTATGAAAAATAGAGGGCCCCAGCAACTTGGGAAGGTAGCTTGTCCTCTGTCTGTGCCTCTGAGTCCTTATCTGTAAAATGGGTTTAAGAGACCAGCTTCATAAGGCAGAACGCAGGAAGCAGGAAATGTCTGAGCAATGCCAGTCGGCATCGTGACTGATAGGAGGTGACTGAGGGAGACAACAGAGAAAAGGGTGAGAATTGGACGGTGACGCCCAGCCGCCCTGGGAAATCCTCGGAGCACCACTTCACCTTATTTTCTAAGGCTATAAAATGAAGGTGACATTGGGACCCACCCCAGGAGTTACATAAGAAGATAAAATGACAGGAGCAGTGTGTGGCATCTGCAGACCTGCAGTAAATGCTATCTCCCGTGATGGCCTCGTGATAGATAAATAACTCACTTCCCACTGGGTCATCCCAGGGATAGCGGGTGGGTGTGGACGGCGATGTCTTCGGGAGTGATTAAGTGGCTGAACATGATGGAGCTGTCAGTGCAGCACAGGGATGGCTCAGGGCCAAGGGAGTAGTCTAGCCTGCCGTCTGCCAAGAAAGGCCCAGACCCAAACAACTATCTTGTCACAAGAGTACAGCTTAAAGAGCATAGCCACTGACGTTGCCACTACTTACCCCATCTATCTCTGCCTCGGATTTTTAAAATATAAAATAGTTGTGTGTGATAATGATGCAACCCAGCTCATAGGGGTGTTGGAAAGATCAACAGAGTTAATATCTGTCCTGGGCTAAGAAAGGCACATGTGAGGCTCTTCCTACCGACATATTTCTACAATGGTGGCTCTAGTTTCACTTCTGTGATAAAGTATCCTGACCAAAAGAACATCTTAGGGAAGAAAAGGTTAACGTGGCTCATGATTCCAGGCAACAGTCTGTCATTGCAGGGAAGTCAAGACAGGAACTTAAAACATAGTATCTACGGTCATAAGCAGAGATGGAACAAGTCATGGATCCTTGCCTGTTTGCTGCTCCCGGCTAGGTTTTCTCTCTCACACTGCTCGGAACCCATGCAGAGGGAATGGTGCTGCCCACAGTGGACTGGGGTCTTCCTACATCAATCAGCAATGAGACAGTCCTCCACAGACATGGCCTCAAGCCGTTGTCATCTAGACAGTAAGGTTTTTCCTAGGTGGTTCTGGGCTGTGTCAAGTTGACAGTTAAACAGCAGCACGATGGTCTAGTTGAAAGCGTGTGCGTGTGTGTGTGTGCGTGTGTGTGTGTGTGTGTGTGTGTGTGTGTGTGTGTGTGTGTTGCTAGTGTAGCCACTGAACAAGTTAAGTAGTAAGTCAGATGGCAGGGTATTGGTAATTGCTGTAACTGTGGCTGGTTGGCTTGAAAGTTACAAACATAAGGCAGTGATGGGCAGGGGTTTTGCTCAGTGATAAAGTGCACACACAGTGTGTGTAGGACGTCAGGGTCCATCCCCAGCACCGTCAAAACTGAAACATGACAGCAGCAGCCTTTAAAGGCAGTGACGATCATCACACGACTCAGTCTTTCCTGCCACAGCCCCATGAGGATTGTCAACCCAGTCCCCCCAGAGTTGGCAACCTAGATCCAGACATGCTAAGCCCTAGGTTCAGACATTCGTCTTGCGCCCCCACCGCCATGCTTACCCACCATGGAGCCAGCCCCTCTCTAGAACTGCATCACCCAGGGTCATCATGTGCTGGTCGCTCACTAAGATCATCCTTATAGGTAGGGCACCCTGGCTTTTGGGTACAAGGTCTCCAGGGTCCCAAGGGGGAACACAGGCAGGGCTTCCTTGGATTCTTGGCTTCCTCATTCCTCCTCCAAAGTTTCTCTCCTCATGAACCACAAACAATAGCCTTCAGGAATCTGGCCCCTGGCCTGCTTTTAGGAATAAAGTTTTATTGGCACACAGCCATGGCCTTGTTGTAGCCACTTTGGGGCAACATCAGTGAAGCAGAATAATTGACACAGACCACAGCCTGAGAACAAAAAATACCCGAGCCTTGGCAGAAGGAGCTTGTGCTGAACTTTGTCTGCCCAGCCAGTTTTGACTTTTTCCTTTTTTTTTTTTTTTTTTTTGAGATGTGGCCTCAGCAGATAGCCTAGATTGGCCTTGAACTTGTGATTCTTCTGCTTCAGAGCATGCAGCAGGAGAGAAGTCTGACCCTGGAGCTGCTGCACCTGGCTGGCTTTCTGCTGCTTCTTTGGTTTTATTTTTGCCTTTTTTGTTTCATTTCTCTTTGTTTTTGTGGTGTGGGGCCTCATGCGTGCTAGCCAGGCACTCCCCTGCTGCCCTTCATCCCCACCCTGCCTGGCTCTACCCTTTGAATAAATCGAGCCAATTGTAAGGAGCAGCAGCTGGAACACTCACAGGACAGATAAGAAATAAATATTCCAGACATTTGCTTTGATGTCCCAGGAGGACAAAAAAAAAAAAAAAAAAAAAAAGAAACCAAAAAACAGACCATTGAATGTTTTCTAAAGATAACAGAATCCAACAGCCTATCTGGGCTTTAAAAAGACAGAGAGTTTTAAAAAAATGTGTTTTACCTTAAAATTCAGATGGGCAGCGACTTGGAACACAGCATGGGAAACAGTGAGAAACTGGGGAGCCCAGGGAGAATTCTGGGGGACACAGGAGCAGAACTCACATCCCTAGTGTCCTTTTAGTAGTGTCCAGGACAGGCCTGCAGTCGCAGTCATCAGGACCTGCCTTTGGAGGGTCCTTGGTGGTGGCGATGGTGGTGGTAATGGTGATGGTTGCTGTGGTGGTGGTGGAGGAGGTGGCGGTGGTGGTGATGGTATTGATGGTGGTGGTGGAGGTGGTTGAGGTGGTGATGGTGGTGATGGTGATGGTATTGATGGTGGTGGTGGTGTGGTGGTGGTGGTTTGTTGTGTGTGAATGCTATCCAGCTTATCTGCTTAGGGGAGCTTTTGAGGAGTTGCTGGCTTCCCAGGCTTGATACAAGTAAGGGACAGAGTAGGTGTTGAGCTGAACTCTTGCAGGAGATGGACATGGGTTGTCTGGTGTGGTGGTTTGAATGAGATGCCCCTTATTAGTCTTGGGCACCTGAATGCTTCGTCCCCATTTGGTGGCTGTTAGGGAAGGAGTAGGAGGTGTAATCTTGTTTGAGGAGGTGTGGCATGGGGAGTGAGCTTTGAGGTCTCAAAAACCTCCCGTCATCCCCATTGTGCTCTCTGCCTCTTGCTTGTGGCTTTGAGATATGAGTTCTCCGCTGTTCCTGCCACCATGCCTGTGCTTCACAACCATGGACTCAAACCCTCTGAAGCCATAAGAGCGATTAATCTCTTTGTTTTATAAGCAGCCTTGGTCCTGATGCTTTGTCATAGCAATAGAAAGTAACTAAGATGCCTGGGAACAGAATATCCAGGATGTTTTTTACTGCCAGATGGAGGCTATGGGAACAACGATGACATCATCATTATCATCATCATTTGAAACAGGGGCTAACTTAGCCCAGGCTGGCTTCAAATTTGCTATGTGAGTGAGGATGACTTTGAGCTCCTGATCTTCCTGCCTTCATACCACAAGGGCTGGGAATGCAATCCCATGTCACCATGCCCAGTGTGGTGCAGGGCTGTGGCTCTGAGCCAGGTTCTGCAGAGGTCATCTACACACATCCCCTGCCCTGCTGTCTCTGTGACATCAATGCAGTGCCTCTTGGGTCTCATGATGGCAAAAACTGCCAAATACTCACCCCTACCACTACCCCAAGGCTGAGGCTTGACCCTGTGACCGGATCTAACCAATTTCACAAAAGGAAGCCTTGGGTCAGGGCTGGAGGTGGGGGCAGATTAAGAAAGACAGACAGAAGTCCTGTGAAGATGGGACATATAGAACCGAAGCAGCCATTTTGTGATGAGGAATCTTACAAATAAGCAAGTGCCTCTGGAGGCAGACAATCAACTGGGAGTGATCTGCCTTTAGTTTCTGTTATTGTTTGCTTGTTTTTAGCACACAAGGGAAAGACATCCATCACTGCTTCTCTTTTGGTTCTGTGTTGTAGGACTTGTACCCTGAAGCATCCTGGCGGCAGGAACAGATTCCACTGTTATCATCACGGTTTGAGGAAACCAGTGTTGTGGGATAGTTGTACACTGTGTGATGATGTGGTTTGCTGTGATTGGTGTACTAAAAAGCTGAATGGCCAATAGCTTGGCAGGAAGAGGTTAGGTGGGGCTTCTGAGGACAGAGAGGACTCTGGAACGAAGAAAGGTAGACTCACCAGCCAGAGGGAGAGGAAACAAGAGGTGAAAGGCGAAAGAAAGGTAAGAAGCTATGAGGTAAGATGTAGGTTAATATAAATGTAAGTCATAAGACTTAATGGGCCGCTGGGCAGTGGTGGCGCACGCCTTTAATCCCAGCACTCGGGAGGCAGAGGCAGGCGGATCTCTGTGAGTTCTAGGCTGGGCTGGACCGACAGCCTCCAAAACAATACAGAGAAACCCTGTCTCGTAAAAACCAAAAAAAAAAAAAAAAAAAAAAAAAAAAGACTTAGTGGGCCAAGCCTAAGCTAAGGTTGGGCTTCCATAATTAATAAGAAGTCTCCAAGTTGTTACTTGGGAGCTGGCTGGTGGGACAGAAAAGGACTTGTTACAAACTAGGGTAAGGGGACTAGGGTATAGAGTTGGTAAACACCTATAGATATTATATATTGAGCACCTACTGTGTGCTAAGCACTGGATGTTTATCCTACAGATGCAGAGCTAAACTGCTGCTACCCTCCTGCTCAAGTCACCCTCTGGTCACAGGCTGTGATGAGAGCCGAGCATGAATCCCTGGAAGGTTCCCTTGCATCTGAAGCCAGGATTGCTGTCATTTTTTTCAGGGACTTCACTGAGGGCCAGGGCTTCAGTGAACTGTGGGACGGTCCTGGGATTCAAAGGTGACTTCTGCCTTCCAAGGAGCTCGGGGTGCAGGGGTGGTGGGTCTGGGAAGCAACCCACAGGGGGTTGGGGGAGTAGCAGCATGCCCTATGCACAACAGTGGGGTGAGGGTAGGTTGGGGAACGTCACTCAGAGGCCACCCAGGCTGCTAGGCAGCACAGTCAGGAGGCCACTTAGTGTTTGGGGGAACATCAGACTGTGTGGTCCCTTTCACAGGGACATCTCTTGTCCCTAGGCCCTCTTTCTTTCCCCAGGGTTAGTTGGTTAGCTCCTGCTTCTCCCTTACCCTAGCATTAAGCAGGTTCCCTTATCAGCTCTGCCCTACTAACAAGATAGACCCGGCTGTGCCCTCGCTTCATGCTGCTTTCAGTCTCCAAACTGCCCCAACTTCCGTCCTTGCAGACTGAAGTGCAGCCTCCCAACCATCCCGCTACGCTGCCGCCAAATGCACGATTTAAGCCCACACCTGGTCGGCAGCAGCAGTGACAGACATCAGATACATACATGACTCCTCATCTCTGCTTGCCCCTGTCACATCTATTGGGGGTGGTGTCCCCCAGGACTAAGCACCAAGGGGGCTCAGGAGCCAGGTCTCATGCTTTTCCGTTTCATCTGCAAGGCTGGCACTGTGTCCAGCACATGGTAAGTGCTTAATAAACACACATCTTATGGATGAATAAGTCTCTTGTCTTTATATAGACAGTGACCTACTTGAGGGGAGGAATGTATCTGTCTCATTTATCACATATACAGTGCCTTCCATGAACTGAAAATTGTGCCTGGCACCCAGTAGGAGCTCAAAAGATGCAGGAGACAGCATCCATGAGAGATAACTGAACAAGAGGCGCCTTATCCCCTTCTGAGACTGGTTTCTGGAGACAAGGATGTGCCCTGAGGCTTGTGGTTGCCTGAGGGGCTTGGTGCTAACTGGCTACTGGGTGTCTGTCACCTCCCTGAAGAACCCTGGCCTTTCCTATGAGGGACAGAGAAACTCACCTTTGTTCAGGTTCTGGAAACAGCTGTGACAAAGAGATGCCACAGAGAGCGGCATAAGCAAAGCGGTTGGCTTCCGTCAGCTCTCGGCCCAGGGGCTGAGACCCCGTTTCTGCGGCTGGCTCTGTGGCTGACTCTGCTGCCAGAGGCTGCCTTGGGTGCGGCCTGTTCCATGTGGCCATTCCCAGCCCTGTAAGAGAGAATCCCAGTGAGAAGCTTCCAGGGGACGGTAGATGGTTCCTCGAAGGGACATGAGAGTCCTTCATCCATCATAAACTGTGATTGATGGTGCCTGTCTGTCACCCCAACACGAGGCAGGCCGACACAGAAGGACCGAGAGCTCCCAGTGAGACCACAGAACAACCACTGTAAAAGAAGACACGGACACATTAGTGTCACTAAGATGATGACTTTCTGTTCGGTGCCTTCATTTGTTCTGTTTTGAGATGGGTCTCACGCAGCCCAGGCTGGCCTCAAACTTGCTACATAGCCAAAGATGACCTTGAACTCACGCTCTTTCCACCTCTACATCCCATGCCAGGATGACAGGCTAGGCCACTATGATCAGCTCTATTCACATACAGGCCAGGGAGGGGTGGGGCGGGGTGCACACCTTTAATTCCAGCACTTGGGACACCAAGGCAGGCCGATCTTTGTGAGTTTGAGGCCAGCCTCCGCAGTACAGGCCAGGCACAGAGACAGGCAAGTATCTAGAGTTCACTGGCCAACCATCATCACTCTGAGCTGCTGAGGTTCAGGCTCAGTGAGAGAGACATTGTCTCAAAGGAATAAGGTGGAGAAGGAATGAGAAAAACACCTGAGGTTGACCTCTGACCTCCACATGTAAGCATTCGTATGTGCACATACAGGAACACACACACACACACACACATACACACACACGAAATAGTTGGTTCTGTACTGGGATATGTATGTCATTGTCCCCCAACAATGCAGAGTAACAGCTACATACATATGACATTTAGGGATGACTCAGAGTCCACTTTGGATGTGTGCAGCTTATGCGTGAATACTACACCACTTTAGACAAGGGTTCTTGTGCATTGCCACATTTGGAGTGTCTGTGAGTGGTTCTACAACCAATCCCCACATGGACACCAAGGGGTGACCATAGTCCCAAATTAGAAACAGCCCAAATGACCACTTATGATAGAGGGTGTAGATTGAGTCATATGCCCATGGAAATGCTACATAGCAATGAAAAAGAAAGAATCCTGGAGGGAACCATCATCACAGAGACACACCCCTAGACAAGACACAGTCAGCAGAAAGCCACATACTTACTGCATGTGGCTGGGTCCTGAGCGTAGGTAGTGGACACGTAGCTAAGAAACAGTAAACAGTGACAGAGACAGAAACGGTGCCTCCAAAGGACACGTGGAGGCTCCTGGGTGACGGAAAGGTTCCCTATCTTGGCCTGGGTGGTGGTCACATGTGTGTACATATGATCAACAACCATGAGGGGTGTACTTTAGATCCATGTGCCTGGTGTGCTCTTCATGTGGACGGGTGGAGGAAGGGAGGTAGACAGGGACGTTCTCCCTCATTCCCCAGGGAGAAGGCAGGCATCCAAATGAGGAGCAGGAGGAAAGAGCCAGGCAAGGACGCACCCCAGAAGCCAGCCTGGTCTACAGAGTGAGTTCCAGGATAGCCAGGGCTACGTAGTGAGACCCTGTCTCAAAAAGGGGGTCGGGGTAGATAAACACTGGACTAGTAAGACAAGAGATGGAGGGTTGTCAAAATGAAGCCCCGGTTAGAAAAGACAAGGACTAGGTCGAGACCTGAAGAACAAACAAGAGCCGATCAGATAGGGTGGGTGGACCAGAAGGGCAGATCCTGTGCAGAGGGGACAGCATGTGGCAGATCTCAGGGCAGAAGAGAGACAGGGTTTTGAAGAATTAAAGAGATTCTCCAGGGGAGTTAGGGCTCTGCCAATGGCTGGAGATGGAGGGTTGTCCAACTGATGAGACACTGGTGTAGGGGTTGTCATGGTGACCATGCAGGGCCCAATGGCCCAGGGAAGGCTTTTCACATGTTAAATCCAGTGGCCTCACAGAGAGAGGGTGAGGGAATACAGGACCTTCCAGTAATAATTCTGTAACTTCCTTTACATTTGACGTCATTTTGAAGCAGAAGTCAAAAGAGCACATAGAGAAACATAAAGGTCTTTGCTTAGGGTCCAAGTCAGTTATAAACATCCATCCCCGATACAAACCAACCTGCTATTGATTTAAGAAGCATGTACCGGCAGTTACCAGGTGCCAGACAACAGGCTGTCTGGTGGGGACATAGGGGTGACTATGCCAAGATAGAAAGACAATGACCCCCCCCCCACGTGGGGCCTCTAGGTTAGAGAGAGAGACGGACACTTCAAGGCACTGCCGAGGATCTGCAGTGAAGGTAGCCTCCAGGGTCCTTACCCAATTCTGGAGAACCAACGTGGGTGTCCCTTTCTCTAAGTCCCAGGACAGGCTGTTAGGCTTCAGAGGGTTCTTCAAGGAAATATGCAAATTGCTCTAGAGACCAAACCAGAAAAACCAGCCATGGGTCCAGAGGGTGTGGAACCTGGAGCAGATAGGAGAAGGAGCAGTTAGCCTGGGTTGTCCCAGCAGAACAGCAGGCCGTCCCCCACTAAGTGGTCACTCAGAGGGCCAGGCGCAGCTCAGGCTGTCTCATAGACGTCCCTGACCTCCAGCTGTGACTGTACCCGGTGCCTAGGTTAGCCTGGCCACCACAGGCAAGAGTTATCTCTGTATTGCAGCTCGATAGGTTCATGAAGCGTCCAGTAGAGCAGCTGTTCAGGGATTATCTACTTGTGAACTAGTTAATGAGCTGAGTTCAGATGGGAAACTTACACACCCCAACCAGACATCAGATTGAAAAGGGAGATGGGGCTATGTATGAGATCACTCAGGGATGGTTCCGACCCAGGGGACCCTCAAACATCAAACAATTTGAATTCCAGTCTCTGTCCATTTGTTTGCAGTATTGTCTCACACGTGTTCAAGGCAAGAGCTCTACCACTGGGCTACAACCCTCCCCTTCCTCTTTACACACACACACACACACACACACACACACACACACACACACACATTATGAGACAGAGTCCACTAAGTTGCTTAGATTGTCCTCAAATGTGAGATCTTTTTATAAGATAGAGACACTGGCCTGGAACTCACTATGTAGATCAGACTGGACCCAAAGTCACAGAGATCCACCTGCTTCTGCCTCCCGGGTCTCCTGACTGCTAAGATTACAGCCATGAGGTACTATGCCCGGCCACGGGCCTTTACACCTTTGTTGGGCATCACTGTCCGTGTGTCTGGGTGTCTGTGCCTCTGCGTTGTCTGGCAATCTGTGCCTTCGTGTAGCTTTAGAAGCCTTGAGAGCAGGGAGTGTTCTTGAGCTTTGTTCTTTTCCTTTTTTTCTTCTACTTAAAAAATTACTGTGTACCATGGCACTGGCATCTCCAAAGTTCTGGGGCCTTCTACTACAAATAGGCTGGACTTCCACCAATAGCCTCTCCTAGGCTCTCTTCATGGATGTCATAACTTCAACTTGTCTCCATGACCCCTTCAATCTTGGACCTTCAACTGCTACTCTGGCTCCACCTGCACCAACAGCCACTCCTGCCCACTCCCAGTGCCAAGCTCCAGTTTTTCTCCGTGACCCCTCATGCCTTTCAGACCAGTACCACCTGGGAGACTTTTACACATGACTATGTTCAGCTGCCAGCATGAGGTACAACGCTGGCCACCACTGAACCACAGCTTCTGTGTGCTGACTCTCAGGAAACACTTCCCAGAAGACTTTACCTCTGGTGACGCTGGTCTCTTCTTTTTTTTTTTTTTTTTTTTTTTGGTTTTTCGAGACAGTGTTTCTCTGTGGCTTTGGAGGCTGTCCTGGAACTCGCTTGGTAGTCCAGGCTGGTCTGGAACTCACAGAGATCCGCCTGCCTCTGCCTCCCGAGTGCTGGGATTAAAGGCGTGCGCCACCAATGCCCGGCGCTGGTCTCTTCTTAGTTACCAATAATCTCTCAGCTCCAGCTGGCCAGGATCAATTGCCCCAGCAAAGCACAGGTTTCACTCAGTGGTTCTGGTCTCTTGTTAATCACAGCTGATTCTTCAGCCCCAGCTGACCAACCACAGATTCTTATTTCAAAATATGCAATGGCTCCAATCAAGTCTTCAAGGGACCCTCAAACTTCCCTCTGGAGATTCAGAAGCCAGGCCTTCATTGCCTACATTTCTCCCAATACTGTTTTTTTTTTTCCAAGATCTCATAGAACAGTTCAACAAGGTCAGAGCATTTGATGGCTTTTCTAGTTCAAAGTTTTAAAATCTTTTTATAATCCTCCCCAAAACATGGTCAAGACTGTCACAGCAATGTCCCACTCCTGGTACCAATTTCTGTCTTAGTGTTTCTATTGCTGTGATGAAACAGCATGACCAAAAGCAACTTGGGGAGGAAAGGATTAATTTCACTCACGGTTCCATACTACAGTTCATCCTGGAATGCCAGTAGGGTGTAAACTCAAGCAGGGCAGGAACCTGGAGGCAGGAGTTGATGCAGGGGCCATGGAGGGGGGCTGCTCACATGGCTTGCTCAGCCTGCTTTCTTATAGCACCCAAGACCATCAGCCCAGGAGAGTATGTACTCACAATGGGCTGGGTCTTCCCCCATCAATCACTAATTAAGAAAATGCTCTACAGGATTGCCCACAGCCTGATCTTATGGAGGCATTTTCTCACAAATGCTCCCTCCCCTCAGACGACTCCAGCTTGAGTCCAGTTGTCAGGAACTACACAGCACACACACCCAGCAAGGAATATTACTTCTTGCCTCCTTAAAAGCTAAATGAGTTTTAAATGCTTCATCAGTGCACAAGAATCCCTAAAACTGAGGAAATTTAAAATGAATCTAATTGTGTGAAAAACATGCAGAGAGAAAAAACATGACAAGGACATTTTCCAAAATCACTTCTGAAAGGTGAACTGTCAGGGATGTGAGTGTGTTTCTATTGTTTTCTGCCATAAACCCCTTTGAACTCTCTAGAAGGTGCTGTGTGTGTGTGTGTGTGTGTGTGTGTGTGTGTATACATGGAAAGGGAGCTACTGGAACATTTGACAGGATGTCTGGCCTTGGCCCACTCCAAGGGGATAGAGGCTGAATCCAGGGTGATTTTATTTTTCTTTTATGTTTGTGTTGTGTGAATTCTTAATGAGTGAATATCAATTTTAAGATCAGAAAAAATAGACATTTAAAATTTATAATATTACTGAATGTTTATAGAATGCCCCTCAAATGTCCAAGTGGAGAGGGCTTGGTGTTCAGCCTGTTGCAATCTCTTTGGGTGGGGTGATAGTACCATCTTTAAGATGTGGAGCCCAGTGGAAGGAAGTGATGTCACTGGGGTCTATTGGCTCCGTCACTTCCTGTCTCTCTGCTTCTTGGCTACTGTGAGTAGATTTCTTCTACTCCACATTCCCACCATGATGCCCTGAGTTGCCACAGGTTCCAAGCAGCCGGCCTAAGTGATTCTGACGGAGACCTTTGAGGCTTGGGAAGAACAACTGTCATTAGATGTTCCCTCATTAAATGATGGAACCTGCAGACATGGGGGTGGAGCTGGCTCATGCTGGCCTGGACGTGCTGGCTGTGAGCTCAGTTCTCTTCCCAGCTCTGTCTCCAGTGCTGCTGTTAGCCTGAAACTGACAGCCAGGACATTTACACCACAGGAATTGGCAAAGGCTACAAATCATGGTCTTCCCCGCTAATCCTACCAGGGAGGTAGCTACCTAGCATATTGTCAGATACATAATCTGAGCTCTTTTTAAAATTTATTTATTTGTGTGTGGGGGGGACGTGTCTGCACATGTGACAGACGGGTGGGTGCCTGAGATGTCCAGAGGCATCAGACCCCTGGAGCTGGGTTTACAAACAGTTGTGAGCAACCTGACAAGGATGCGGGGAGCCAAACTGGGGTCCTCTGGGGGAGTAGCAAGTGCTCTTAGCAGCAGGGCCATCTCTTTAGCCCTCCAGTTACGTTTTTACAAAACGTTTGCAGAGTAAAAAGATCTGAAGGGAAATGTTTGTAACCCCTTTCTGTTGGCCAAGGGACTAGAGGCTACTGGGTTTTATTTTTCCAGCATATTCTGTCATGAGCTTATTGATTGTATTATAATGGAAGGAGACAGATCAATTAACTTAGAATTACACTCTCTTTGTACGTGCATATGTGTGTGTGTGTGTGTGTGTGTGTGTGTGTGTGTGTGTGTGGCACACATGTCGCAGAGCGTGTGTGGAAGTCAGAGGGCAACTGGTGGATGCTGGTTCTCCCTTTCCACTGTGTAGGACCCCAGCATCAAACTCAGGTCCTCAGGCTTGGCAGTAGACACCTTTGCCTGCTGATTCGTCTTCTTGGACCGGAAAAAGATAAGTTAAAAATAACAGTTCTGTTACTTTCTCCTTGTGCAGGAAGTGTTTTAGGCTCCATGTAACCTATCCCACTCAGTGGGGCCAAGGTCACTGAAATGTTCCTTTGTTTGACCAACAGGTCCTGTTATCAAAACAGAAGGGTCAGTAAAACAGACAGAGGCAAACCTCAGCCATCTACAGTGCACGGATGAAGGAGCCTGTGGCTCCAGGTTCAGGTTATGACTGGCTGGGCTGCCCCATCCCCTCCACCTAAGAAATGTGCGATAGGTGAGGGGAACCACTGAGCTGTGTGCACTGCTCCAGGGAGCCTACATCCCTTGCTGTGGGTCAAGATCAGGACCCATCCCAAACAGAGATCCTCAGGAGCGTGTGACACTGATGCTAGGAAGCACTGGACTTCTGTGGTAAGAAAAGTGTGCTGCTGGTCTCAGCATCTCTGTGCCCTGGCTTTCCCAGCAACACCCGGGGCAGGAGGTCATGATGGAGGGAGTAGCCACCATCTCCTAGATCAAGTCCAGGTATTATAAAGACACCCAGGGACTTCAAGCAAGGTTCATGTTTGATCTAGAAGAACACTGTCTGCCAGAGGAACAGCTTTTACAGCCTGAGGGCCATCACCCCCACAGTGAGGCTGTGTACCTAGACTCGTGAAGGACAACAATGGTTCTGGAAAGACCTCATTCCGATCCTTGATGACAGTGACTTTTAGCCAACCAGGCACATTATCTACCACTAAGGGAAATGCTGGCCAGGTGACGTTTGTCACTGGTGGGACTGAGAGCCAATCATTCCACAGACGGCAGCCCTGTGTCCTGTGAGCTCCAGTGCTGAGCACCCAGGGGACATTTGCTGACTGGCAACCCCCAAAAAGGCAGTGTGATTTCTTCCTAGAGGAAGAAAAATCCCAAAGCCAGCATGTAAAAGGCCATCAAACATGTTCATAGCATGCTTTAAACCATCTAAACATTGCATGGCCCAGGCCTTTGTATGACCCCATACAAGAATGAACTTCTGTTTTTCCAGCTGCGGCTCTTTCTGTGAAAGTCAAGGTCAGATATGATAGGAATGTGTGTGTGTGTGTGTGTGTGTGTGTGTGTGTGTGTGTGTGTGTGTGTATGCTCATGTGCACAGGAGGAGGTGTCTCTTTCCTTGTCCTGGTCATGAGTGAAGTTTTAGATGACTCTACAGTACAACCAGATAATTTATAGAGAGAGGCTACAGTGTCTAGAGAGGGCTGGAGACTAAAAACTTAGAGCACAGAGCCAAGAAAAACATTTATCTCAAAAGTCCATTCCAACACAGATCCACAGTGTCCTCCTTAAATCTTTAAGAGGGTAATTGAAAGCTGTCTGTCTCTCCAACACACACACACACACACACACACACACACACACACACACACACACACAAACAATCATAAGATGCTTCTAGAAGCAAGGACTCTACTCCCCCTGATCGTCCCCCATCCCAACAGAATAATCACTCTATACCTCTACTTCAAAGTTCAGCTGGAAGCTAGAGATAAATGAAGTATGTTAGGTGATCTCCATAGCAACACTTCTGACACAGAAGAACCCAGAGGGTCTGGGACAGCCACCTTACATTGCAGAAGGAGGAGATGTCGGGCCTGGAAGGAGAGGTACCATCTATCAACCCCCTTCAGCAGCCTGGCGTGGGGCAGGAAGGGAGGATGGGTGCCCGATAGGCTCCATGGTCTGTGTCCACATTTCCCATTGCTCCCTCCCTCCCTGCTGGGGCCCTGGCACACACCACCACCATTGCTCATGGGGGTCGCAGGGGAGCCTCCTCACTAGTTTCCCATGTCATTCTGCCTTCACTTATGCCATTCATTGCATGTCACGAAGACGGCGCCATCCCAAAGAAGTCACACTGCACTCCTCTGCTCCCAACCCTTGAAAGCCCTTTCTCACCCAGTCAAGGCCTTTAGAAAGGTGACAGGGCCATAGGCAATCTGGTCCCATGTCCCTACTACCCTCCCCACCTCTCCCCTCCTCCCTCTCTTTGCTTTTGTCACACTGTCCTGCTGGTCCTAAGTCTCCCAGACACTGTGGGACCATGACCTTTGCTCTGTTTGTCCCTTAGCTGAAATGCTTTCTCCACTAGATGATCAAGGGGGCAACTAACCCCGTCGCCGAAGCCACTCAGTCTCCAATCCTAACTTACTCAGTTCCCTCGGTCTGGGTCCCAATGTCCAAGTGGGGCCTTCTATACGTGGTAATCATGCTAACGGAATGTAAGATTCTCGCGGGGGACAACTGTCACGACCCCTTTTGTATCACAGCATCGTTATGAGTTAACCACCATCCCTGTGCCCATCTGACACGATGAAGCCAATGCTCACCAAAGTGGAGGTCACATCACCGGCGTGTGGCAGTCCCACTATGCTCCCTAGGTGGATGTGACTTCAGATTCCAAGTTTGGGCTGGGGATGTAGCTCAGCGTCAGAGTGTTTGTCTAGCACACACTAGGGCTCCCAGCACTGAAAAATACAATAGGAATAAACAAACAAACAAACACAGAGTACGGCTTCCCTTGTCATTTTACTGTGGCCTCAGCTGCCATGAGCCTTCCTGGATTTGCAGCCTCTGAAGCCACAGACTGAGACCTACCTCTTCCGTGTGCCTGCCTCCCTGGCCAGGAGAGTCAGGGAGACAGCAGCTTAAGTCCAGGGCATTAATGTGCCCCTGTCACTCCACTCCACTCCCCCATGTCCCTAGGAAGAGCTCTAGGTTCACTCCAGCCCCATCACCCTGGCCCTGTGTAAAACTCTTCTGCCTTGATTTGTTTGCTCAAGATCAATGGTTCTCATCTGTGGCTGGAGACTCCCGGAGGGGGGGGGTCGAATAGCAGATATTTACATTACGATTCATAACAGTAGAAAAATTCTAGTTATGAAGTAGCAACAAAATAATTTTATGATGGGGGGGTCACCACAACAGGAAGAACTGTATTAGAGGGTCACGGTTGAGATCCACTGCCAATCAAGATGATGTTCCTCCAACTAGAAAGTGGCACTTGGGCCATGTCCCTTGAGGTACCCTGTGATAGCATCTGGCAGAGACAGTGCTGAATGAATGAATGCCTCTCTCTACAGCTGAGAGATGACTTCAGTATATCATTGCAAAGGGCAATGAAGCTTTATATCCAACAAGGTGCCTTTATATCTCAAAAGGCTCTTTCTGTCAGTGGCTTTTGTTACAGGACACCTAGCAAGCAGCCTCAGACCAGATCCTAGAAGTCACAGACTGGCTTGCACACACGGCCTGGCATTGAGAGTTCATGTCCTCCTGGGCTTAACCTCTGACACACAGATCCCATGACTTGTGTGGCTGGGCATTTGGAATACAGAGCAGGGCTAGGCTAAGATCTGATGAGCAAGATGTTTATTAGGAAAAGAGGCAGGGAGGAGGGAAGGCAGGAAACCATTGATAGTCACTCAGAGATGCCCTGGAAGCTAGAGCAGGAGCAGGTGAATGTCCTAGGAGTCCATGACACATAAATTCTGCTCTTTACCCTAAGAAAACATGGAGCTGGGCAGGTTTCAGGCTGAAGTACCATGGCATAGGTCCAGCTGCCAGTGGGGAGGTCAAATGGAAAAAGACTGAATTCTGCCTGCTGTACCAGGTTCAAGGAAGCCAAGCCCCCATTCCCCTGCACCCCCAATCTTTGTTGTATAGCAGTATCTCAGAGACCAGAGGTCTCAGTTGAGAGGGTGTTTGCCTAGACTGCCTGAAGCTCTGTGTTCTATTTTTAGCATCACAAAACCAGGTGTGATGACACACATGCTTTATCCCAGCACCCAAAAGATGGAGGCAGGAGGATCAGAAGAGCTAGGTGGTCATCTGTGGTCACATAGTGAGTTCAAGGCCAGCCTGGGCTACTTGAGACACTGCCTCTAAGGAAACAAAAACTACTGAGGGCATATAAGGTGACTATTAACTGCCTAGTGTAATGACTACCTTGAGGTCCCACATCTGCCAGCCTAGGCTCTGGTCCAGCCTTCCCAGTGCCATGGTATCCAGGTACAGGCTGAGCCATCACAACCAAAACCATTCAGCTATGCCCTCCTAGCCACAAGATGAAGCCTGGGCCTCAGCCAGATGTTGCCCTGCTCTGCTCCTTCAGTCCTCTGCCAAGCTTGTGGGCAGATTATTTTGTAAATGAAGCCACTCAGGAAGCTGAGGAGCACAGCTGGACTGTCTCACCTCGTGTGAGTCTGTCTGAGTGCACAAACCGGAAATGCAGAGTGTGAGGCCGCAAGTTGTGTTTCCAGCCCTGGAGGGAGCCTCAGCCTCCTCCTCTGGAACTCAGCCACCCCAGCTCTGCTTCTAAGGTTTCTTCACTGCGCCTAAGAACAGGTTATCACGTCGCTAGACCTCTTTGTTTGTTTGAGGTGTTTGATCCCCAGCACCCAAAGCAAATGTTTTTAATTCCCCCTCTTTTTTTTTTTTTTTAGACAGGGTCTCTACATAGCCCTGGCTGTTCTGAACTCATTCTGTAGACCAGACCAGTCTCAAACTCACAGAGGCCTGCCGGCCTCTGACTCCCAAGCGCTAAGATTGAAGGCGTGCACCACCACACTCGGCTTTAATTTACTTTTGACTTGGCAGAGCCCCTGTGTCCTGTGCTTTTGCATTCTGACAGTATCTCCGGCACCAGGAGGAGATCCGATCCCTTTATAAAGAAATGGAGGGCCAAGAAGATACCCAAGGTGATATGCCAGGAAGTGGCAGTCCCACACTTCACCAGGCTCCTAGGTTCACTGAGGCATCTGTTAGGTCCAGGACACTCTCAACTCACTAACCTATTCCCCAGATCTTTGGGAAGTGAGAAACTGAGGCCGGAAGCATCATCTTCGATGAGGCATGGCTGTTCAGAGGGTTTGGTACTATTCTAACTGAGAAAGAGGCCCCGGGTCCCTGCCTTCTCCACATACTGGGTAGTTGGGAAGACTTCGGTGGTCTTGTCTGCCCAGTCTCCCGCTGACTCACCCTCTGGATTGTACTTGTGAGGAACAGCTGTTCACTGCAGTGTCTTCAGAGCCTAAGCAGTGCACACACACACAGGTACATAGTGAGTGAATGGAGGTCTGGGAAGCCTTATGGGTTTGGTGTTCCCTCCTACTTCAAGGCAGCAGCGGCCTCTGGATCAAACCTGCAGATTTAGCCAGGCTCTGTTTCTACTCTGGATCACACCGGGGAAAGACAAGGACATCAAGGAGGCCAACTTTGAATCTAACACTGGGTTAAACTCCGGAGTCAGCTCATCGTTGTCCTCTTTGCTCCGATTGCCTGGTCCTGGCCACAATGACTCTGCTGTCCCCAGCCTCAGTTTCTGGGCTGTAAAATCTACTCCCACATCAGTAGCAGTAAATGTCCCCAGTTCTGTAAATACCCGCCTGGCAAGAAGCCACGCCCCGGTCACAATAGGAAGGGGCCGGACCTTTCCGGGACTCAGGGGCTTCCCAGGCCTCTGGGAATTGAGTCTGAAGACTGGGAGGGCAGGAGCGGGTTCCTGGGGTATGCAGGGGGCGTCCAGTGACCCTGAGTGGCCTTGGGAAAGACCCTTTCTAATCTTCCCGGCCTGTCCGGTGTCTTTCAGGGGAGTGGTTTGGTGCCCGGGGTGCTGGCTACGAAGGCATCAGTTTCCCTCCTGCCGCCCAACTAGAGTCCTAGTAGCACTTCCGGGTCCGAAAGCTCACCGCCTGCGGTCTGGGGGCGCTCGAGGCTCCCGCCGGGCTTACCTGGAGGTGGCAGCGACCGATGGGACAACGACCTGGATCCTGGAGGCCCGGCTGCTCAATCCCCGGCTCTCCCCGCCCGTCCTCGCCCAGACCCAGCCGTCCCGTACCGGCCTAGGCCGGTCCCGCCTGCGCAGCCCCAGAGCCCCGACCTTCCGGGCTGGGCCGTGCGCACCGCCACCTAAGCCACCAAAGCCGCCACCCGGGTGCTGGTTTCGGGGAGGGACCCGCGGATCAGCGCCCCAGGAAGCAAGAACGCGGGGCGCAGGACTCTGCCGAAAGTGCTCGCCAGGGGCTCGGCTGGTAGGAGAGGGTTATGTGCACACACTCGGAGAAGTTTCCAAATTGTGCCTCCACACGTTCAAAGAGCCTGTCCCAGAAGCAGCCTCCCTCCAGCAAACTGCTCTGCGAAGAAGTTTACAACATTCACTTTCTCTAAGGCTGCCAGTCTTTGCACACCAGGCTGTTACACCCCACGGACCTCCGCTTTGGGGTTCCATTCCTTGAGACTTCCCTAACCACCCACTCAGCTTTAGCCATTTAACAAGTATTTGCTGAGCACCTACTATGTGCCAAGTCCTGTTCTAAGGCCACTGATTGGTACGCCAGGCATTCAGGCATATATATATATATTTTTTTTTTGTTTTGTTTTGTTTTGTTTTCGAGACAGGGTTTCTCTGTATTGTTTTGGAGCCGGTCCTGGAACTCGCTCGGTAGACCAGGTTTGGTCTCCAACTCAGAGATCCACCTGCCTCTGCCTCCCGAGTGCTGGGATTAAAGGCGTGCGCCACCACCGCCCGGCCAGGCCTGTAATATTTTAATCGTAGTATTTACCACTGTGAAGTTGACTGCTTTCCTGTTTGCCAGTTACAATCTGTCTATTCCACCCTAGAACTTAAAAGACCCAGAAATGGAGGTCTCCCAGGCCTCACACACTGCTGTGTGCCCAGCCTCAGGGACAGTAGGTGTCATAGCACTCGGAAGATGGCTCTTGTTACCCTGGCAACCTGTGAATTTTCATCACACCTAGTCTACAGGCCAGGAAGTAGGTGGCCATCCTGATCAGAGCTGAATATGAGTCACCATGGCCTAAGGAATGACCTCTAAGGCCATTGCTCTTCCTCCTGGAGAAGGTAGGTTGGAGCTGTAAGTGGGAAAAATACACAAGTTGGCCCGTCAGACATGCTGCATTCCAGCCCAGAGCCTGTGACTCAGAACCCTACTGGAATGCGATGGGCCTCCACCACCTGATCTCCTTATCGGCCAATCAGGACCAAGAACAGCTGGAAGGTTATTCTAAGTCAAAAGGATCAGCTATGGAGGGCTGAAGGGTTCTAGCTGAGATTCTGGGCTTCACTAAGGGCAGGCAATTGACACATGGAGGTGACATTATGACCCCTCCCCCTGCAGTGGACCTGTAAAAACCAGAATTTAGAAAGATCCTATTGTTGGCTATGAGGAATGCAGGGCAGGAGTGAGTACTTCCAGGATGAAGTACCCAGTCAGCTTGAGCAACTAAGAGATTCTCAGTCCTTCAGGTGTGAGAAATATAGGAAAAATAGGAACTTCCAACAGTTAGCATAAGCTGATTTAGCAAAAGTCTTGATATAAATAAGTAAATAAATGTAATTATAAAAGTAACAAACAAACAAACCAGGAACATTTGCTAACTCAGAAAGGAGTAACAATAGATACATGAAATCATTACGGAAAATAATTTTAGAAACTAAGTTACAATCAATATAAAGTGGTTCTCTAGTGGGTTTGGGGACAGTAAAGACATTAATGAGGAAACTGATCAATGGGGTCTCTGCTTTAGTCAATAGTCATATATCAAAATTGATTTTTTAAAATCTTGATAAATGTGTCAGTGTTAAGATTGGAAATCAGGGCAAAGGGCACATGGAATTTTGTTAAGAACTCTGCACTGTCTCTGCAACTTTCCTGTCAATCAAAAACCCTTCCAACATACATTTGCTAAATCATACATTGAGTCCTCAGAGTGGATAGCAGCTGCTCTGAGCTAACGACCCCCTGCTTTGCCTTTGTCTAAGTAGATTACCAGGGCTGAAAGCACAGTTACTTGTGGGGACTTGCGGAGGTTGAGGCAGGGGGATCACAGGCCCAAGGTCCTTCTGGGATTTAGAGTGTGTTAAAGGTCTCCAAAATAAAGAAGTGAGACAGGGGGTTGAGGCTACATCTCAGTGGCAGAGCACTGGCTGGGCAGGTTCTGTCCCCCAGAACCCAGAAAAAAGGATGGTAGACTCCTCCTGGGTGACCTTTCAGGGTCTGAGGGCATCAAACCACCTTCTCCACAGAGAAGCGAAGGAGAGGGTGTTCTCCATGTGTGATTTGAGGCTGTTTAATACATGTTCATGTACTGGTTAAAATGTGTTGTGTATCACCAGGATATGACTTGTGGACATTAAAAATGTGTGTCAGACTGGGGACAAATGCCAAGGACTCTATTTTCTTTTTTTGGAGGTTGGACCCAGGGTCTCAAGGGAGTGTGGCACACTGAGGTATAGCCCCACCCCTCATTTTAGGTCAAAGGAGGGCATCAGGTGTTCCGCCTTGTCATTCTTCACCATTTTTTTTTTTGGGCAAGGTGAAGTCCTCAGTGAACCTAGAGCCACCCTCCTATTTCCAAGGGGGTAAACTAAGACTTAGACACATTTTGTAACTTCCTCCAATGTGTGCCAGGGCCTAGGGTCTCTCAATGGTTCCTTCCACTCACATCCCCCTGTCACACAGCCTCATTCCTCTGCCCCCTCCAGGACAGCACTGCCTTGACTGTACTCTAGAGGCTCCACGCTTTGACGTTCCAGAAGATGGTTGGGACCCGGTCAGCTTCCAAGGGCCAGAGGATGGTAGTGCTAGACCACCCTTGCCCAGAGACCCCAAAGATGCGTTCCCTGGTTGGGGGCTTGTGGGTCTGGGTCACAAGCCAAGGCTCAGGGCAGTAGTCATTTAATCAGGAGGGTGCACCTCCAACTGGGGACTCCGGTGCTCCCACTAGCAGGGTTCCTGCAGGGAAGGCTGGAGGGGGAGGCAGCAGGCCAATTCCATTTTTATCATTCTCCCTTCTGGAGCCTGCTGATCTCTGAGTCCTGGAATTTTTGATTCCTGTAGTTTGTCTCATATTTTCGATGGCATTTCTTCCAAGCCCACTAAAGAGTCCTCACGTTGAGACGAAATTCTGGGCTAATTCCCAAAAGATCTCTGGGATAGGCTGGCTGTGCAAGAAATTCACCTTTCTGATCTCAGTGTCTTCCTGTATAAGAGGGAACACAATGGTTTCAAGTTCACAAGGCTGTTAGGGACCCATAACTTGGCTGTTAGGGGAACGCCTGGCTCTCTTGTGAGTACTGGGTAAACACGCTCCCACCAAATGGAAACAAATGATATTTCCTTGACCAACTGAAGACTTGGGGGTGGATTTTGTCTCCAGGAAGTAAAATGGACTTGAAGGAGTAGGTGGGGTGACTGGTAGCCATCCCAAACTGTACACACCCAAGGCCAACGGGTGAGATGCTTGAAGGCCCTCCCCGTCTATCTGCTCACCCTCTCGGAAAGGGTTTTTTTCCGGCCCAGGCTGGCTGACTGTAAGCGTCCCAGTCCATGCACACCCGTAGCACTCTCTACACTGAGAACTGCCTGACCTAAGAAAAGTAAGGCGGCATTGTGATTTTCAGGGCAGCGTATTGCACATGTGCATTTGTTTGCTTGGGCATTTATTAATTTGGCAGTGTTGGGGATGGATGGAACCCAGGGCGTCACACATTCCGGGTAAACACTTTACCACTGAGTCCTACCCTCAGCCTGCCACACAGGGAGACAGAATGAGTCCTTGCTGTGATCTCCATGCAGGCATTCACAAGAGTCCAAGCCCTCCATCTGCCCGTGGCTTGAGCTATGCCCTGAGCAGTTGGGACATCCTGGGTTTTTCTTTTTAGACTAATTGAGCCAGACTTACTCAGTCTGGGGAAGGGAAGGAAGCTGAGAGCCAGAGACTTTGCTCAACAGCATGTGACTACTGACCAGGGCTGAGCACCCGGGACCCAGTGGCAGAGTCCTCTCATCATGCCCGACAAAGGTCCTGTCACCATGACCTGTGCCCTCTCTGCCTGTTGTCCTCTTATTTCAGGAAATGGGGCGAATGGAGAAGGACCACGCAAGGGGCCCGGTGCGTCCCTCCAGAATTTCACAGGGACTTTCTGAGACATGCTTCCAGTCCCCACGTTGCCCTCCCGTCTCCACCCCGCTGACCCTTGACCTGGAACCCACCAGAGCTGACTTCTGAGGGCAGATACTTCCCTGTGTGAAGAAACCAAACCAGTCTTGAAGAGATGACCCAGGGACCTCTCTAGTGACTATCACACTGAGGCTGAAGGGGGGGGGTTGTCATTGCTGAGTACCGTTGCATTTACGAGATGGCTTATCTTTATGGCAAAGGAGCAAATAGATGTGATAAGAGGGCCGGCACCATCTGGAAAGCTTTCATTATGTCATTGGGTCTAGGAATCTGACAGAGAGCTGGGTCCACCCCCCCCAACCCATGTGTCTCTGTCTTTGTCTCTCTCTGTCTCTGTGTCTCTGTCTGTGTCTCTGTCTCTCTCTGCCTCTCTCTCTCTGTCCGTATAACCTTGAGATTCCCTGAGTTAGGGCCTGATGGTGTACCACTGGTGATCTCAGTGGGGGGTCTGGGGGCAATTCCTGGACCCACCCTCTCCACACCTCCCCATCTCTGTCTGCTGAACTAGGATATCCACCCTGACCAGCTTTACAAGTACACTCCCATGTGGCTTCTTTCTCTCCCACCCTGGGGTGGACCCTGTGGGAAACCCTGATGAGACCCTTGCCATGGAGGGTTTAGTATAGTGACTCTGGAGAAAGCCCAGCAGTGCTCCCTTGGGCTCTGGCATCCCAGGAGGGAAAATGTACAATGGCTAGAAATGGCCACAAACTTCCCGGCACACAATAACCCTGACAAGAAAATGAGGCCAGCTACAATGATTACAAAAGAGTGCTGGTTCTATTTGCTTTGTAGTAAGCTCAATGTCCCAGTATGTCCACAGAGTGATAGATCCAAAACCCAGGAGCTCAGGAAGAGGGGTAGGGACCCCACTGTCCTTGAAGTCACTTGTTTGGGGAATTGTCTCCTCCCTTTCCCCCTAAAAGTTTAGCTAGCATGAGGGCAGGCACATGCAAGCCCATTGTCCCAGCACTGAGTCCTTGATCCAACACAGCCAGTCTGGCTTTGGCATGCAAGTCCGGTTTGCATGTGATTTCAAGAGGAGGCTCCTAGCCCCTTTTCCATGTGGGCTGTGAAATCTAGGCAACAGGGAGCCATGGTAGCATGAGGCCTTTAGGGATCCAGATCTCTCAGGCAATAGAAGTGATCTGTGCTTGCTTTTGCTCTCGGCAGAACAGAGTCCTGGGGCAAGAACAGTTGCTGCTCTGGCTCTGAGGGTAACAGCAGAATAGGGTGGACATCAGCAGCGCCACGGCGATGATAAAGGCCAGCACCCACCGGATGACACCCGGGTAGATGAAAGGCAGAATGAGGACAATGAGAAGAGCCAACAAGAGCAGGTGTACAGCCAAGCGCCGGGCAGCTACACGGTTGACACTTACTACATCCTGGTCGTCTTCTCCTGTCCAGTTGGCTGGCCGCACTGCTGAAGTGGCAGAGCCCACCAGCCCCTGGGGACACAAGCGCACCTCTGGGCACGGCGGGGCCAGCTGCCCTATCATCGCCTCCTGGTCTCGCAGGCTGCAGATAAGGCCTCCGGGGACAGCAGTGACCTTTCGGCACAGCGGACAGGGGATGGACCAGGTGTCTTCCTGCACGTATAGCAGAAGCTTCAGGCACACGGCGCAGAAGGCATGCTGACAGCTCAGCAGCTTGGGGGACCGGGCACAGTTGTAGGGCTCTCGGCACACCAAGCATTCCAGGTCGCCCTCCGTAGAGACACTGAGACGCCCAGTGGGAACCAAGGCAACGATGGTGGTTGTGGTGGTGGCACCCGCTGGGATAGGTTGAGGGGCCTCAGTACAGGACATTCTGGGTACCGAGTTGCTGAGATGAGGCTGTTCCATGCAGGGGCATCCATAAGGACTGTCCGCCGGTGCTGCCTGGACTTGCATGGATTCTGGTCCTGCCGGGACGATTCTAGTCTCCTCTCTGCTCTGTCCAGGTACCTGCTGACAGCAGACTTCTGGCATCTTTCTCTCCTGGTTGCCCAGTTTGTTTCTCAGCTTACGTTGCCCTTCAGTTATTATTTCTTTACTCGAAACCCAGGGTTAATTAGTAACTTGGAGACCTGGAGACTTTGAATTACCTGATAGAAGGGCCAAAGGGGGCGGAGTCTCATGAATCAGGCCTTTCCTGTTGAGGCCCTGCCTGGTGAGTGTCTGTCTGCATGACAACCAAGACGCTGTGATGACAGGGGTTCCTCCTAAGCTCTGGGGTGTACCAGAGACCCCCATCAAGTTTCCTAATCTGGATAAATGGAGGGGACTCCCCTCAACCTTTGAAAAAAGATTACATGAATTCTCGGTGCACGTCATGGCACATGGTTGATGGCAAGTGCCTTAACTTGCTGCACCACCTCACCAGCCTTTGAAAATGCCAAGTGTCTGGGCTTCAGGGCTCACAAGCATCCGCGTGGTCCTGATGAGGGTGACTGGGGAGCATCACTTTAAGAGAGGACTCCAGAGATGGGTTTCCAAATCAACAGGGAAAAGTGTGCCCGTGCTTTGAGCACACGGGCCAGTGGGCGACCTGATGAAACGGGAGATGTGGCGGGGAAAGTGTTGGGAGCACAAGAGAACAGAAAAACAAGTCTATCCAAGAGTGCACTGGCCCATTTAGTCCCTTGTCATCCCGACAGCTGGATTAGCAGCCTCTGTTCCCAGGCATCTCATCAGTGGATCACACAAACCTTAAGAAGGCACCATTGGCTATGTCCTCGGGAGCCATGAGCACAAGCTGCCATTTATTTGGGCCTCCTTAGAGCAGACCAAGAAGAGGCCTGGGTCATCATTTGTGGTCTTCTGGGATCCCAGCTCTATAAGGAAGGTCTGGGCACAGGAGCAGGGTGTTGGCCTGCTGGCTGGCTGCCAAGGGGCCTTCCACAGGGGCAGGACCCAGCCGTGTCCAAGGTCTGGCTCCCAGTCTCATGGAACTCAGCCATGTCAATTGGTACAGATTTGATTGGCCTCCAGGTAGCTGGCTTGAGCTGGCAGGACTCACGTGGGATGGCAGATAGGACACAGCATGGCAGTTATGAAATTCTAGTCTGGAATGCTAGAGCTGGGATGGATGTCCTCACCCTCAAAAAAAAAATGCCTCCACAGTGAATCTAAAGATTGCTGCCAGTGGCTACTGGTGTCTAGCTCTTTGAATTGAGCCTTTCCCTCCACCCCAAGGGTGATGCTGTAGGCTCAGCAGCCCCCAGCAGGCAAAGACTGCGAATTTTTTCATTGTCTCCCACTCATGGTCCTCTCACGCTCAATCCCAACCCCAGTTTCCATTCTTTTCTGCCTTAGCCTGGGTAAGCGGTGTTTTCATTCTACCACAGTTTCTACCAAGTTCACTCAAAGGGGCCTTGACTCTAGCTGGGTTTCTATGTCCCATATGCTTCCCACTTTCTGGATGACAGTGGCCTGTCTTCCCTTTGGGTCATCACTGCCCCCCGAAATCCTGTGGGAGACAGGAGCTCACATCATGGGTTCCAGGGTGTAGTCTGGCTGATGCCTTGAGATTTAAGGGTTTAGTGTATTCCATCTGGCTGGCTGTAATGAATGGCCTAAGGAAAGCCAATGAGATTGGATTCTGGGACTCCTGTTGGAACTGGTGAGGTTGTCTTTCTCCTGGGTTTCCAAGCTTAAGGGTGGAGCCCTGGGGAAGGGGACAGGGCCACAGTGTGCAAAGAACTTGCCCAGGAATAAAGTCAAGGCATAAGGCATTATTTTAACATCTGGATCCAGCCATATACCTGAAGCCAGGAAAATTATCTGTCGATTTTTCAATATATTAGTTTATGAAATGTACTTTTCGCTTTCTTAGTGCTGGGGCTCGAACCCAAGACCTTGTGCACCCAATTCCCCAGTTTGCAGTGAGTCAGTTCAAACTGGTTTTCTGTTTCCCACAAGTGAGAGTTAGCCAGATAGTACCACAGAAGCTGAGGAAAAGCAGCATTGGCTCTCTGTGTGAGTGAGAATCCATAAGGCAGCACACACACACACACACACACACACACACACACACACACACACACACACACACAGCCATGGGTGACACAGCATATTACTCTGCTGAGATGCTGGCTTTCCTTGCTTTAGCCCCAGGTAGTGTTCCCTTCTGTTCACTGAGTCTAGAAGGTTGGGAAGGGGAGAGGAAAAACTTGTTCAGCCACATTCATTTATTATATAATAAATACATAATAAAATTAAAAATTAAAAAATCAGACAGCAGAGGGACTTGGGATGGCCAATGTCTTCTCTCTCTGCTACCCACCTACAGTAAGTCAGGTTATCAGAAGGTCATAAATGGAGGGGTTAGGGCTAGGGATATAGCTCAGGTGATGGTGTTTGCCTAGTGTGCATGACATCCTTGGTTCAATCCCCAGAGCAGTACGAACAAGGCCTGGTGGTACACACCTGTAATCTCAGCATTCGAGAGGTAGAGGCTGGAGGATCTGCAGTTTGGGGTCATCCTCGGCTACATAGTGAGTTCATGGCCAGCTGGGATACATAAAGCCCTGTGTCACAATGAGAGAGGGAAGCAGAGGGGCAGCTTAGAGGGGGAGAGGACTTGCCATGCCAGCCTGCTGACCTGAGTTTGATCCTCAGAACCCACGGAAAAATGTTGATTCACTGGTGTGCGAGCATCTGTAATCCCAGCACCTCTTCGTGAGATGGGGTGGAGACAGGAGAATAGCCCAGAAGCCTGAGGACCAGCTAGACTAGAGCTCAAAGCTTCCGCAGCAGAAGCAATAAGAAGGACCCTGCCTCAACAAGTGGAAGGAGAGAACCAACTCCCGAAAGTCGTCCTCTGGCATGGGGCAAGAGACACTGAGGAGACTGAAATGTGACCACGGGAAGACACTTGGGGCTCCTGTCTGAAGAAGAACCTTTCGATGTCATTGAGTAACCGTCAATGGACTAAAAATGTGGGTTAGAGGCAGATGCTTCCCCAGCATGACTGAGGCCCTAGGTTGGATCTTATTGATGCAAAAGATAAAATCATGGTCGTAGTAATCAAAAAAATTACAGAAAGATGCAGTAGAGAATATGAGCTGGGAGTGCTGGCTCATGCCTGCAATCCTAGCACTACAAATACTGAGGTAGAAGGATAGCCTATTAAGGCTAACCTGGGTTAGATAGTTCTAGGCCAGTGTGGTCTATAGGATGAGACCCTATTCCAATTAAAACAAAACAAAATAAAATGTGACCATTCCTTTTACTACGAACCCTGAGTCATGACCTCTATTATCAGTGGGTTCCTTCACATTTTCTTTTCTTTCTTTCTTTCTTTCTTTCTTTTTTTTTTTTTTTGAGACAGGGCTTATCTGTGTAGCTTTGGAGGTTGTCCTGGGAACTCGCTCTGTAGACCAGGCTGGCCTCAAACTCACAGAGATCCTCCTGCCTCTGCTCCTGAGTGCTGGGATTAAAGGCGAGCACCACCAACACATCTTGGCTTGCAAACCTCCTTTGACTCCCTCCCTCCCTCCCTCCTTCCCTCCCTCCCCCTCCTTTTTCTTTCTCCCTTTCTTTGGTCTTGATACAGGTCCTCCCCATGTTGAGGTTGCTTTTCTCCTGGGTTTCCAAGCTTAAGGGTGGTTGGTGAGCGTCGTGATGTTGGGAATTCTTCCTGCTCTCCAAGTCAAACTTTTGTTTTTTTTATTGCTGTAGAGATACAAACATTAATTTTCTGTAAAGCTTGTGAGTTTTTTGTTTGTTTGTTTGTTTACTTGGAGCTGTAGACTCTTTGAGTTGAGGCTTCCAACAGCATGGGGGCGATACAGACTTGAGTGCTGGTAGAATGTTCTGCCTCAAAGCCACTGGAAACCAAGAAATGGCAGTTAAAGGGGACGGCCCTGGAAGTCACACTGCTGATGCCACCTTATCAAGATACTTCCACTTGAAATTCAGGGTCTGTGGGAAAGGATTTGAGGTAGCAATGACTAAATTAGGCCTTCTATCCCATGCTTGTTCCCCTTGGGGTCAGCTCACCCTGGGGATGCAGAGAGCTGGGTCCTGGCCACCAGCTACACACACACACACACACACACACACACACACACACACACACACACACACACACACCACACTTCTCTTCTGGAATGTCTGCCTGCTATCTTCTCTCACATTTTTGTTCCAAAATTCTCTTCTCTGTGCTTTTAGACCTTAGCAACAGGAAAAACTAAGCACTAAACAGACAAACTTGATTCTGTTAGTCCTGACTTCACCACTATCATATTTACTATTGGAATCCACCCCCACCCTAACCTCCATTTGGGGCAGTGCTGGGAATCAAACCCAGGGACTTGCTCCATCTTCGTGTTACCTTCTGTCTCATAACCCTTATAGTTTTTAGACTTGTTTCTTTTACTCTTTGTATATGAGTGCTTGGCCGGCCTGTATGTCTGTGCCCACAGAGGCCAGAAGGAGACATGGAGTTACAGACGGCCATGAACTGCTCTGTGGGCGTTTGGAATCAAGCCTGGGTCCTCGCCAAGGTCAGCTAGTGCGCCTAACTACTCAACTGTCTCTCCAGCATCCCCAACCCATTTTAACATTCTCCCTCTCCTCCTCCTCCTCCTCCTCCTCCTCTTCCTTCTCCTCCTTCCGGTTCTTGGTTCTTGTTTTCTCTTTCCTTTCCCTCCCTTCTGTTTCCCCCTTCTTCTTCTCACCCCTTCTCCCTTTTTCTTTTTTTGGTCAGTCTGGCCTAGACTGGCCTCACACCTGCATCTTCCTGCCCTCCTGTGCTGAGATCACAGGTAGCCCCAGGAGGCCCAGTTTACACAGCCTACACAGCGTCTGGGTTTGAGATGTAGTTTGGGAAACAATGCCACTGGATCAAGCGTAGTCATTCGAAGGCTTCGTGTTGACTGTGTGTTCTGAAGGCTGTGATGGAGCTATATTTTGGGGTTGCTTTCTTCAGTGGTTTTGAAACCTGCTTCTATATCCTGAGGCCAGGCCAGGGTACTGGCTGTCCCCTGCACCCAACATGGGAAACTGGTCTAGAGAAGATGAGCTTGAAGAAACACTTGGCTTCCCCAATGGGATGTTCTATCCGTCTACACAGGCTTTCTGAACAGTTGTCTACTTCCTGGTTT